CAAACCCATGTCCATTGATTCGGTCATACAGTCCAACAATCTCATCCTCTGTTGTCCCCTTCTCCTCGCACCTTCAATCTTTCCCAGCGTCAGGGTCTTTTCCAATGAGTTAGGTCTTCGCATCAGGTGGCCAAAGTATTGGACTTGATCTCCAGCATCAGTCCTTCCAGTGAATATTTAGGGTTGATTTCCTTTAGGACTGACTGGTTGGATCTCCTTGCTCTCCAAGGGACTCTCAAGAGTCTTCTCCAGCACAGTTTGAAAGCATCAATTTTTTGATGCTCAGCCTTCTTTGTGGTCCAATTCTCACATCCATACATGACTACTGGAAAAACCACAGCTTTGACTATATGAACTTTTGTTGGGAAAGTAATGTCTCTGATTATTAATATGCTGTCTAGGTTTGTCATAGCCTTTCTTCCAAGGAACAAGCATCTTTTAATTTCGTGGCTGCAGTCACTGTCTGCAGTGATTTTGGAGCCAAGAAAATAAAATCTGACACTGTTTCCACTGTTTCCCCATCTATTTGCCATGAAGTGATGGGACCGGATGCCATGATCTTGGTTTTTTGAATGTTGAGCTTCAAGCCGGCTTTTTCACTCTCCTCTTTAACTTTCATCAAGAGGCTCTTTAGTTCCTCTTCACTTTCTGCCATAAGGGTGGTGTCATCTGCGTGTCTGAGGTTATTGATATTTCTCCCGGCAATCTTGATTCCAGCTTGTGCTTCTTCCAGCCCAGCGTTTCTCATGATGTACTCTGCATATAAGTTAAATCAGCAGGGTGACAATATACAGCCTTGACGTACTCCTTTTCCTATTTAGAACCAGTCTGTTGTTTCATGTCTGTTCTAACTGTTGCTTCCTGACCTGCATACAGGTTTCTCAAGAGGCAGGTCAGCTGGTCTACTTTCTGATCCTTTTAAGAATTTTCCACAGTTTGTTGTGATCCACATAGTCGAAGCCTTTAGCGTAGTCAGTGAAGCTGATTTTTTTTTTTAATTCCATTGCTTTTTCTATGATCCAGGGGATGTTTGGCAGTTTGGTCTCTGGTTCCTCTGCCTTTTCTAAATCCAGCTTGTTCAGCTGAAAGTCCTTGATCATGGATGTTCACTAAACTTACTGTGGTGATCATTTCATGATGGATGTAAAATCAGACCATTATGCAGAGTATATCTTAAAGTTGTACAGTGCTGTATGTCAATTACTTCTCAATAAAACTGGAAGAATAAATAATCAAATAGCTTGTAAAACATAAATGTGGACATTTTTTCCAGAAATTGATCATAAACAAATTGGCAAAAAGTATTTAACAATAGTCAATATTTTGGTTTCCCAATATTATTGCCAATATTATTACTGGTTTCCCAATATTATCGCCATTAACAGGCAAAACAGAAATCCTGTGTCTGTGATACCTGCCTTGTGGTTGAGGAATGCTTTTCTAGTGTTGGTTGTGACTTCAGAATGTGTAGTGGTTTCTGGTGATACTCTTGAATTCTAGGCAGGTTTGTCAAGAGCAGCATCATGTCCAGCTCGTTTTCATATTTGAAGGGTTGCTGATCAATGTTTTTTAAAAATATAAATCTAATTTCTTTGCTTTTCCTCTCAGAGGTTTTTCTGCCAACCATTTAGTAAAGCTAACTACAGACTTTGCTGGTTTGGGTACAACATTTACTCAGTATCCATTAATTTTTATTTCTGACCAACTAAGCATATGGTCCTAACGCTCTATGAAATCAGACTCTTGGAACCAGATTCTGTTATAAATTTCATTGCTCGTTACCTTTATGTGATGTTGCAATATATACATCACTTAGCCTGCATGAAAAGCTGTATAGATGGAACAGATCTATTTTGACTTTTATGTTTTACTTTCTTTTTTTATAAACATGGAATTCAAATGGTCATAGACATAGTTATGGTTTTTCACATGTACTTGAATGTGTTATTGGATATAAGGTCTTTATTCACATTCAATGTTTTCTATTAAGGCAGGGATGGATGAATAAATATTCTCATGATTGTCTGATGCAGGGTTTGGCAAAATAAGCCATTGCCTGTTTTTGTACAACCCAATTGCTAACAATGGTTTTTACATTTTTAGATGTATGAAAAAGAATTAAAATAGAATAATATTTTGTTTCATGCAGAAATCATGGAAATTCAAATTTTAAGATCCACAAGCAAAGTTTGTTTGAAATACAGTCATATCCATCCATTTATCAATACACACTAAATCCTGCTTTCATGCTACTGGGGCAAAGCTGAATCACTGTGAAGGAAACCCTGTAGAAATATATTATCTGTCCTTTTTGAGAATAAATAAATTGCTCTCCCTTGCTCTAATGCGTAGTTGACACTTTAAAAAATGTTTTTAAATATCAAAAAGTTTATGCAGTCAAACTAATACCAAACTTGAGTTATTCCTCTTCCCTAAAAATGATACAGTGTTCAGACTTATCCGTTTCATGGTATTGTACTTATTGTTACTTTATGCTGCTTCATTGCTTGGACACAGTTAACTTTTTTTTGCTATTTGGATTAAAAGTTTATCCAAAGAAGAAGAGTGCTAAATCTCAAATCAATTCTCTTTCCTCTGCTTTCTGTCACTATCTATATATTTATTTTTTCAGATCTTTTAGCTTGTTGTTAATGAAACAGCGAGCATCTTAAGGACAGAACTCGCATTCATTCTCTTGTGCTCAGTGTTGGCATATAGGTGCTTACTAAGTGTAGTTACCGTGTGAGCGATTGCATGCAAGCATGAGCAAAGTGTCAGAGTGTCCTTGCCTGAGTTTTCTATATTTTCTTTGACCGATGTGTGTTTATGATAAGAATGTTTTTAAATTTATTTTTAATTGAAGGATAATTGCTTTACAATCTTGTATTGGTTTTTGCATACATCAACATGAATCAGCCAGAGGTATACATATGTCCACTCCCCCCGTGAACCGTGTTCCCGCCCCGCTCCATCCCACTCCCCTAGGATGTCACACAGCACCGGTTTGAACTCCCCGAGTCACAGCAAATTCCTACTGGCTCTCTGTTTTACATATGTTTTAATGAAGGTAGTCACACACAGGAGTAACACTAGTCTAGAAGTAGAAGGATTTCTGCACTCAGATTTAATCATTACCTTCTTTTCTAGACTCACGTTAATTAAATAATTGGCTGATGCCACTATGAGAGGCAGATGACAGGATCTGCTAAGACAGGTCTTTTAGATCTTTGACATGACTTCATTTTCATTAGCGGTTGAGGATAACGAAGCTGGCAGGTGACACGGTAAGACAGGCTGCTCTTTACAGCAAACGTCTATGTTGGTTTGCCAGAGACACTGTCAGAGTGAAAGTGTTTATTCCTAGAAGAAAACATTAGCTGTCTTCCTTAAAAATAAATTATTTTTCAGTTCCCATCACCCTAAATTTTTTCCTCTTTCACTTTTTTGTGTTGGAAATAATTAAAAAAGATTCCATTATAAAGCTTGAATAGACATTTTCTGTAATGCTCTGGTTTTCTTTTGTATTTTACTTTATTCCAGATCCAAGTGGGATTCTTAATTTTTTTCAACAATTATCAAAGGTTATGGATTTTTCAGATTGTATTCTAAAATAAGTTACGGAAAGCATGTATTTCCTTTGCTTCAAGCCATTTCTGGAACATTCTGAGGCATCTATTATTCAGTTCCATTCTTCAGTTCCTAATTATTTATTTAGTATCTACTGTGTGCCAGGCCCTGTTTCTGACATTTGGGGTATCAGAGAACCAAATGGGACCAGGCAAGATATTTACTCCTTGAGAGCTGACACTCTAGAAGGAGGAAACAGACAAGAAACAGTGTACATGGTGAACGAGTAAATGGTGTAACATATTAAGGGATTGTAAGCAAAATGGAAAAAAAAAATCAGAGCAGGAGGGGAGAGAAATATGAGAGTAGGGGTTAGGATATGAAACAGGGGAGTCAGTGAAGGCTTTGTTGACAAGATGATGCTTAAGAGTTGAGGAAGCTCTGAGCGTTAGCTAAGCAGATATTCAGGGGAAGGGCATTGCGGGGAAGGGCGGGGATGTTGAGAGTAAAGGAGCTAAAGTGAGAGAAAGCAGACCTGTGTGCAAAACGGCATGGAGGCTGTTTGGAGTACAGTCAAGGAGAGCAAATGGGCCAGAGGGTGATGGGACTGGATCGCGTAGAACCGTGTGAGCCTTAGTGATACAGGAACCACTGTGAGACTCTATGCTGGAGCGTGACAGTTGGTCCACCTGGCTACTTTGATGGGATGGGGATGGTGCAGAGCCAGAGGACTAGCAATGAGGATGTGTCAGTGATTCAGGAAAGAGATGATAGTGGCTTCGACCAGAGCCAGTCATGGAGCTGGTGAGGGTGGCTGAATTTTAAATGAAGGTAAAATGTGTAAGGATTTCCTGACAGATTGGATGTGGAGGTGAGAGGCAAGAGTATGTTTGGACTACAGTGTTTGTTTTGCCTGGGAACTTGCTCGCAGCCATCTGCGGGTGAAATTGGTTTGGGGGTAGGGGACAATCAGAAGCACCACTTTGGGGAATCTGAGTTTAAGATACATTTTAAGATAACATGTACTCTGGAACACCCCAGTTGGTACTTTCCCAGTGCCTGCCTGTGAAAGAATACAAAACGTAGTGTTTGAATGTTTTATGTGCCTAAGTATAGTAAGCACAACTGTGATTTGGGTTAGTTAATGAATGAACACTCATTGAGTGGCAGGTGGCAGGCTGCTGTTGTCACAACACAGAGGATCCAACCCGATCCTCCCCACGACCTCTCCAGGTCTGCATTTTACAGAAGCAGAAACTCAGCACAAGTGACTTGCTTGAAGTTCACATAGTTAGTAAGCGGCTTTCACTTTGAGATTCAAACTCATGTTCTACAACTTCAAATACAGCCTCTTTTTGACTTTGATCTCACAAAAGAAATATTAATATACCTGGTAGACTGCCATTTGTTGACAATCTGATTTTCATCTTCAGATTATAACACCAGTGAACAAAAACAAGCCTGTAAAAAGCATGAACTCTATGTGAGTTTCCGGGATCTGGGATGGCAGGTAAGAACGGTCCGTCAAATTGGTTGCTGCTTTTCTGCTTTTTGTCAATCCTAAATCTCTTGTAATCTTTCCTGTACAGTAACCAGTTGTTTTTTATAATTTATTTTATTTTTTATTGGAGTATCACTGCTTCACAATGCTATCTGCTGTTGAAATAACGTGAATGAGCTATCGTGCACATGTATCCCCCTCCCCCTGCCCCCAGCCTCACCCTCTGGGTCGGCACGGTGGCTCCCCGCTCGCTGCCTGTCTTACAGATGGCGGTGTATATATGGGCGCTGGCTCTCTCAGTTCTTCCCACCCTCTGCTTCCCCTGCTGTGTTCACACACCCTTTCTCTACACCTGTGTCTCTATTGCTATCCTCAGGAACAGGCTCATCTGGACCATCTTTCTAGATTCTATATATAGATGCTTGTTTTTCTCTTTCTGACTTACTTCACTCTGTATCACAAACTCTGGGTCCCTCCACATCCCTGCAAATGGCCCAATGCTGTTCCTTCTTATGGCCGAGTAATGTTCCGCTGTATGCATGTACCATATCTTCTTTATCCAGTCATCTCTCAGTGGACATTTAGATTGCTTCTATGTCCTGGCTGTTGTAAACAGTGCTGCAATGAACACACCAATTCTTTTTGCCATTGCCTATTCCATATAAGGATTATCCACATCATTTTTATTTCTGCATTATCCTTTCACTATTGAAGCATAATTAATAGAGTTTATGGTAAAAAAAAAATTATGCTAAAGAACAAATGCAACCTTAGAAAGTGAAGAAAAGAAGTCCTGTTGTTTAAATATACCCAAATTTCCATTTTAGTCCTCATTTTTCAGATTAACTCAAGCAATTTCTGTTTGCCTCCTACGGTCACAAATTATTGGTATAGGAAGTAGAATCCTTGACTGTGTCTGTGGTAAGTCAGATGTAGAGAAAAAAATTTTTCTTGTACTTAGAAATCGTATTGCTATCTTTTACATAAGCTTCACAAACACAGTGAGGAGGAAGATTTAACCACAATAATTTTCATAACTATGCCAAAAGAGTTTAAATTGAATTGTTAGATTAGATTTCAAGCATTTTCAAATTTATGATAAACCGTCAATGTTAATTGTTCAATAATTTTACGTTGGTGACAAGTTTTACATCTCTGGGAAAAAACTCAGGGCCACCATCTCAAGTGCCAACTTTTTAGCTTCCTAAAATTCTTTGTACACAATGCTCAGGATTTTTCTCCAACTCATTTCTTCTAAAGAGACTATAAAGTTAACACAGGATTGGAAAGAAAAACAGGACAAGGAACAAATCTTAGAGCCTTAAGAGGTTGTCAAGCTTCTAAAGCAGGAATGAGTTATTAAGAAGTAATGAGAATTATCTCAATTAAGTTTATTCTTCTTTTCCTTTCTGGTTCAGTTGAACTTTGCAGAGTTCATCATTTCCTGTTTAAACAATATTTAGAATGCTATTTCATGATTGCAGCTTTATTCATGAATATATGGGCTAATACAGGCTAGGAATATCTTACATAATGACCTCTGGGAGAAATTACAGAGGACAATTCCTTGTGAAAATATTTATACTTTTGTTGTAAACTTTAAGTTAAACATAAATTAAAGGCTTGAGGGAGCCTGTCTTATTAGAATAATTGTTGGACCAAAAAGAGAAACCAATCCAGAGTATTTAATATTATATTATATTGAATTATATTAATTATATTTAAGTATTCTTTAAGTATTGTTTTTGTGTGCTTTTATGTTGGTGATCTTATTTCTTCTGCTTTCATGCATTTTAGGACTGGATTATAGCTCCAGAAGGATATGCTGCATTTTATTGTGATGGAGAGTGTTCTTTTCCACTCAATGCCCATATGAATGCTACCAACCATGCCATAGTTCAGACTCTGGTAAGTTTTCTTTTTATAGAATAGAAAGTGGTTTATGATGCAAGCTTCCTATAAAGTTACTTTAAAGAAAAGCATCTATTTGGAGTTAAAAATGCATTTTCTTCTCTTCTCAAACTCCTAACGTAAAAATTGTGCCAGAGTAAGAAATGTGGATATAGTCAGGAAATTCAGGCTGCTCTGAAGAAAAATCCTAATTCCAAAATGAGGAAAGATTCAGCGAGGAAAATTGGAGCAATCACAGAAAATGGTCATTTTGCACTGATTTCTTCAGTAGGCAATATGATTAACCACATAGGGGCTGTTTCTAACCTAGATGTTAGAATGTTAGAATGGTTAGAATGTTTCTAACCGTTCATTAGCAGTCATTACAGAAACTTTGAATAATAGCTGTGCTGAATTTCATCTGAGAGCTTTTAAACTCCTTATTTAAGAATGTTCCATAACATACTTTGGTATCATGGAAGCTCTTCAGTGTAGAATATAAGTAGAAGATTGGTCTCCATTTTTTGATATCTTTTTCATGTATAATCCTTACGGTGGAAATTAATCTTCATTTCTTCCCTTCCACACTTAGGAATGCAACAGTGATTTAATCTCTACTAATCTAGGCTAATTTTTGTGAAGGAGATAATGAAATGTTAACCTCATGGTCTCTCAGTGGTCGTACTTATCTCATAAGCTCAGGAAAACCCTTGAGAGTCTGACTCCAAATTCCGTACTTTTTAATGTGATGGAGGAGCGGCCTCTGGCAGATGAGGAAGAGGTTCTAGAAGATGCGCAGGCTGTGTGATGTGACCCCACATCAAAGTTGGGTTCACAGGAGCATTTCAACTATAAGTAATCAGGACAGAGGAAGAGAACAAATAATTTTGGAATCAAGACACTGATGGGAATAGTTATTTGGTAGATAACAGTAGGAGAGCAATAGCTGTTAGAAAAAAAAAAATCTATCTTTGTGGGTGAGGCTTGTTTATGACCAAGAGAAAGAGCAGCTATTAGAATGTGTAAGAGTTGACTCTTCAGAACATTATCTTCTTTTGCAATTTATTGAAAATTTAAAGTTGATGGAAATAACATCCCAGTTCCCTTCTGAATAAGAATGGTGTATACACCTTGACAGATGAAATCCTTGACTTGATGCTTTGCTGGCATCTTACTGACATCAGAGGTACTACTGGATAGCTAGACCACAAAGATGCACATCTGTGGCACCTAGAGCATAGAGTTTGTCAAAGACTTTGGAAATAACCTTGGAGTAGAGCGGAAGTGGAGAACTAAAGCAAATATGTATTTCGAAAGGTAGTCACTTATAAATATTCTTTTCTCTCCCAAGTTTGAAGAGAAACATTTATTTCAGAATACAGTCATGTAGAATTATTAAGTTGCTTTTTAATAATGAATGGAAAACATTTGCTCATGCCTATCCTTGCCCATTGATGCTTTTGAACTGTGGTGTTGGAGAAGACTCTTGAGAGTCCCTTGTACTGCAAGGAGATCCAACCAGTCCATCCTAAAGGAGATCAGTCCTGGGTATTCGTTGGAAGGACTGATGCTGAAGCTGAAACTCCAATACTTTGGACACCGCATGCGAAGAGTTAACTCATTGGACAAGACCCTGATGCTGGGAGGGATTGGGGGCAGGAGGAGAAGGGGACGACTGAGGATGAGATGGCTGGATGGCATCACCAACTCGATGGGCATGAGTTTGAGTAAACTCCAGGAGTTGGTGATGGACAGGGAGGCCTGGCGTGCTGCAATTCATGGGGTCACAAAAAGTTGGACATGACTGAGTGACTGAACTGAACTAACTGATCCTTCCCCAACACTAATTTTTCACCGTAGATTTCTTTAATATATCATACTCAGCAAACTTAGAGGTGTGGGGAAGAACTACTATTTCTTCCTTGCTTGAAAACTTTATATACACTGAAAGAAACCCTTAGCTTGCTGCTGCTCTTATTTCACTGTCTAAAGTGAATAACTGGAGTCTAAGTTCCAACCAGCATTTTCTTTCATGCTTGCTTTGTGCTGCCAGTGTCATAGAAATATTCTTCTCTTTGTTGATTTTTGACCAATGATGTTCCCATATGCAAGTATAGAGTCAATTCCTAAGGGTATTTTAAGTTTTGATATGTCTATGCTATGTCTATGATATGTTTTTATGCTATCCATAAAAATAAGCACTTCCTTTAAAATTGTTTTTGTATTTAGTTATTTTTATTTTTGCCTGCCCTGGGTGTGCACTGCTGCACTTGGGCTTTCTCTAGTTGCCTCACGTGAGGGCTGCTCTCTAGCTGCGGCGCCCAGGCTTCTCATTCTGGTGGCCTCTCTTGTTGCAGAGCATAGGTTCTAGGTGCATGGGCTTCAGTAGGTGCAGTGTGCTGGCTTAGGTACCCCTTGGCATGTGGAATCTTCCCAGACCAGGGATTGAATCCCTGTCCCTTGCTTTGGTAGGTTGATTCTTAACCGCTGAACTACGAGGGAAACTCTGTAAGTACGTCCTGATATATGGTATTACTGTTGGGGCAGGGAAAGCAGGTATGCGGCATAAAAAAAGTTGTTATATTCAAATGTCCTCCAGTGAGATGAATGTCTGGGGAGTCTAGCCTTCTATCAGCTGAAAGCTCCTTGCAGAGAGAAGGATGCTTCAATTCCATGCCTTAGAGGAAGAACCCTCCTCACTGTCCATCAGCTGGGTCACAGCAGAATAGCCACTATTAGCCTATAGAGAAATGCCACTTAATTTCTCAGAAATTAAGCTCTTTGTACTGTCATTTCAATGACTCAGAGAGCTTTCGCCGTTTCCTTAGATATGCATCTAACACATCCAATTTCGCTCAGGCTATGCAAAGCTTAAATTATTGAAAAAACTCTGTCAAATACCCATATCTCTCTCTTTTTCTTTTCTTAAAAATAAATATATAATTACATACTGTCAACTTTTAGAACTGTACTCTAGAAGGCAGCGTCTAAAAACAAACATTTTTTAAATCGCTGACACGGACTTGGAACAAGCCCCTCGTCTGTATCGCTGTCCTGGGATGTGGAGCATAAGTCATCACAGAACTTGAAGGGAACATGGGAAGTTTGGTGTTTCTGTTTTTTTTTTTTTTCCTGGCATTGTGCATTCTCTGTTTATTTTGTGATGGACATGAAACAAGAACACAGGCGCATTTGTTGTTAAAGGAAAGCAGGTCTGTGCCGAACACATTTGAGACATGATGGAAGGACAGTCTCATTCTTTTCAGAACAATGGCTGGGTGAAGTGATCCTTGAAGCAGGGGGTTATCCATCCATCACGGGTGAGGGGGTTGAGGAGGATAAAGCCAAGGAGGGCTTCAGGCTGCCTCTGATATTTGGAGAACCATCCAGCTTGCAGTTTTGTGAGGTCTTAGGAAATTTCACGTCCGTGTCGGATCACCTCATTTTTCCTGCCGTGTCTGTCCATAGGCAGGACTCCTATATCATTTCAGCCAGGAGGTTTTGCAGCCAAGACTCTAAGAGCTGTATTTTCTCTTTGTGGATCCCCGAAGACTCTGCAGTGGGACTTCCCATAAACTCCTCTGGGGGAAGGGCTAGGGGAGGCGGGTGGAAACGGGGAACCGAGTTCTGGCTCCTTCTTTGATTGTTGAAGATCAGAGGTAAACTTGCCAGTTTGATGAAAATGAGAACAAATCCTCTACTTAAGCATTTCACTGGCCATGCTCAGCTACCTTTTCAGGCTTTGGAGGGGGAGAGGTAGGGATGTACATTCAAGTTGTAACGTATCTAGGCTTCTTTCTTCTGATTGAACATAACTTGATTTTTGGCACTTGTCTACGGGAGAAAGCAAGTCAAAGGATGTTAAACTCTGGCCAATCTGGTAAAACATTATGGGGAGAAGAGTTGAAATCATTGCTTTAAAGCAAGTATTGGATTTGTACCTGGAGTTTATTTTGCTTTGATTTTTATGCTTCCTTTGCCAAAGGAAATGCAGAATTTGCATGCTTTTAATTTTATTGTTAAAAATGCGTTGGTTTATTGTTTAGTTATCCTTTTAAGAATAATTCTTAGATCCAGATCTTCCTACGGCCTGCCTTCATTGATTTTGCATTCATAACTTACATGTTTTTCATGAAGTAAACAGAAGTGGCCATTTTAACTAAAAGCAGCCTAGTCCTACTTGCCATGTTCTTTCCTCCAGGAAAATTTCCACTGAATATTCCATAGAGAGAGTTTTCCTTCCTTGGTAGAATGTTTTTCAAAGCCCCACCACATAATTAGAACCAGTGGGTCGAGTCTAGGTGTTAATACTTAAGGATACCTCCTTCACTACCAGCTCCCACCTCATCTCAGCATGGAGCAAAAATAGAAGAGAGGGAGGTAACTTAAGAGAGTGCCTGATTGTCAGTGATAAAGCAAGAATGTCACCTTAAAACTACAGATGAAACATCTATTTTATTTCTTAAAAAGTAAAACATTTTCTTCCTCCCACCCAACCAGGTTCACCTGATGTTTCCTGATCACGTACCAAAGCCGTGTTGCGCACCAACCAAATTGAACGCCATCTCTGTGTTGTATTTTGATGACAGCTCCAACGTCATTTTGAAAAAGTACAGAAATATGGTCGTGCGTTCGTGTGGTTGCCACTAATAGTGCATAATAATGGTAATAAGAAAAAGATCTGTATTAAGGTTTATGACTACAATAAAAAATATCCTTTCAGATAAAAGGGGAATTTAATAAAATTAGTCTGGCTCATTTCATCTCTCTAATCTATGTACAAGAGCATGTATATAGTCACTTTTATTTATTTAAAGGTATATATTCTCCTTTGTGGATGCCTTTGCAGTAAAATGTATTTTAGGTCACTTCATTATGCAAAAAATTGCCCATTCTAATTTTTAATAGCCTATGCTGAGTCCAATTCAATTCCACTTCAATATTTTTAATGTAATTTTTATATGATTTTCTGAAATTAGACAGAACTCCTTTGACTGTTAAGTATTGTTGAAGGAAGCTGAATGCATTTGGTTATGCTGTGCCAATGTAAACTGATAGGATATTTATTGATATTTAGAATGAAACTTAAAAAAATAACCACCCAAAACAAAAATGCTTGGAGGAACATAATTTTTCTTTGAGAGTTTCTGCTTCATTAGATAAAGTGAAATGTTGAGCTGGATTTGAGTAAATAAACGGGAGCAGAACACAGAAGCTGAAAGATTGCATGTAATTGTTGTAACTGTTTGCTTGAACAGAATTGGTTTAACTGTAGGAAAGCGTTCCTTCTTGGCTCACCGGTTGTAGATTTTGCAAAGAGCTCAAAGCTTCAGGAATTCTGTGGAGACAGACTTGAGCCTGTGTCCATAATTTTCCAAGTTAACACTAAAAAAGCGTAGTACAACCTTCTTACCTCAAATAAATCATGTCTGCCTATTATCTAGAACACTACTGCTGCAGTTTTTGTGTTTTTTTTCAGATTTAAAAACAGTCCAAAATAAAGAAACATTTACACGTGCTCCCCTTCCCTCCCCACAGATGAGAGTCACTGCATGCATAAAATATACCCGAGCAAAGCGGCCGACAGAGCCGTTTTCTGTAGCTCTCTTTTATAACTGAGTTTGCTGATTGATGTGATGCAAGGGATTTTATTTAGGGTAAAAGCACTGAAACTCAACTGGAGGAAATTACCCCAAATCCCAGAATGGCTTTGACAGAATTGCCATTTCGAAAGAACAGCTGAAATCCATTTTTCATATCTTGGAGAATGAGCTCATTGAAAACCTTATTTTGGAGGGGGATTTTTGTAAACCTTCCTCCAAGCACAAATAATTCCAAGTGGGAAGGTTCTGTTGTATGTATGTGCATGTGTGTTCTTTCCCCTGAAATTAATTTATTTTCTCTCTCTGTTTCTATCTCTCTGCCTTTTAAGGCTTGTCTTTAACCCACTGACTTTTGGAAGAATGACATTTAGTGGATAAGTTGCTATTTATGTGGGCTCCACGGCTAGGATTATTTACAGTTCATCTAAAATACTCATAAAGCACCATTTATTAATCACCCTTTTGGACTTTCTAAGTACAACTTGTATCAAAAATAGCTTAAAAATGTTATGGGTTTGTTCATGATTCAGGAATATTGCAATGTTGTTTTAAAATACAGAGTATCTTAAAGTAAATTTGATAATAACTCTATTGGGGATACATTAAGTAATATATTTTTTAATTAATGGTATACCATTATAAGAATAATAAATGAAAGTCTATTATATTATTCTTTAAATGTGCTGTTTAAATATATTTCTATGTTTTAAAATATATTAAACTTGTGATGCTAGTTCCTATTGTGCTTCTTGATTTGGCTTTTCTTTTTTTTAAAGAGGGATACAAAATGTAAGTATGTCCTAACTGAGACTATAAGCATATCAGATCTAAAATGTTTGTGTATTACATGATTTTAATTGCCAAAACTAGTGTTTGTGTTGTTGATAAGTAACTCGCTATTAAATAAGCAAAGCAACCATCCATGAGTTAAATATTTTCTTAATCTGTTCCAACAATAAGGAAAATTTTTAAATAGCAAAAAAATAAATGATTAGGGTGGGAATTGACCTTATTTATTCTCTTTCATTTAAGAAGGGAGATACTTAGCATCAGTATTTTTATATTTTCTCAAAATATGTATGGATATATATATATATATCTGTGCATATGGTCAGTCACATTATTTTCAAATAACTATTAGAGTAAATGCTTAGTATTACTTTGAATGCTCAAACTATTACAAGAAATCAGAATAATTTGGTCTATTTTAACAGGATCCAAACTACTCAGGTCTTTTTGGCTAGTTATGCATTGACTTTTCTGTTGGTATGTTTTTAATTTTTCTGCTTTGTAAAGTGGTCCTAATCATTTTTGATACGAGAAGGGCAAAAATGACAAATACTCATTGTTCTTTAAAACTAAGGCAAAAATAAATTTGTACTGAAGTTAAGAAACAGACACAGAAAAGAAAATGCAAAAACATTTTTTTTCTCAAGTAAAGAACTGTCATTTAATAATTCCTGTATCATCAGCATTGAATCTAAACCAGCATCTAGGAGCTACTATATAGTCTGCAAATTTCATCTCTCAAGACATTTACAATAAATAGGTAGTTTATAGTGTAACTTCCCTCAAGGCAGAAGAAATCCTCATTTCCAAACACAAGTCACTATCTCATAACTATTCAGTCAGTTGTGCCCTCGATCATGCGATCTGGCTCTCAGATTACCTGCTTTTCTATGTTCTTTCTTTTGCATTTTGGGGGGAGGGGTCTGGTGCTTTTCAAAGTTACAAGTGAAGATGCCTTTGTTGTTAAAGCACATATATCACCACGTATTTATCTATACATTTGTATTTTATCGTTTACTTTCTTTTTAACCAAAGGAAAAAGTAGGAAAAGTAACAGTCATTGACAGTATATATTCTTGTGTAGGCAGAAAGGTGACAGTCTATTCAAGTTAACAATTTAAAAAAAAGAGCCAAGTTTTGCAAAATTACTTCCAAATCTGTTGTCATACTTGTTAGAGGTTGTTTGAAAGATGGGGATTTCAAAGACAGGAGAACCAGGATCAGGTACAGCCTTTAAAAGTACAAAGAAACTTCAGACTTTGAAAAACATGTACTTTAACCTTTGCATCTTAGTTTCAAATTTACAGAGGCAGCTAGCCTCCAATCGGTGGGTAGAGAATGGGGAAAAGCAATTCAGCCTCAAATCCAGAGGCTCGAGTATGGGAGGATGAGAGGAAGGAAGCACTGGAAAAACAGCCTCCAGACTAAGCATCTGGAAACAAGACCAAAGCTGATGGTTCAGTGGGGCGTGGTTGGTGTTTCTTCCCAGTTCATTGTGGCTCTAATGACATGATGAAATACAATAGGACCAACCAAAAAAAAAAAAAAAAAGAAGAACTAGACTAGTTATTTTCCTGTCCATACCTATAGGAAAAGCTCAAACTAGGAAAATGATTTTCTACCTTGAGCCACAGGCCAATAAGATGTCTCTGATTATCTTTACCCTTTCTTCATTAAAACATACTTATTACACACTCACTTATAAGTAAGTATATTTATTTAAACAAAATGCATACACTGACATACTTATAAAGACATATTGTTTTAAAGAAGAGAGAATAAAAACATGAATGTGAGTATGTGTGCTCAATCATGCCCAACTCTTTTGTGACCCCATGAACTGTAGCCTCCCAGGTTTCTCTGTCCATGGAGTTTTCTAGGCAAGAATACTGGAGCGAGTTGCCATTTCCTACTCCAGGGGATCAAATCTATGTCTCTGGCGTTTCCTGCATTGGCAGACAGATTTTTACTACTGGCTCGCTTGGGAAGCCCACAAAAACGTGAATGCAAAATGTTTTAGGAACTTCCCTGACAGTCCAGTATTTAACACTACACTTCCAATGCAGGGGGCACACGTTCCATCCCTGGTCAGGGAACAAAGATTCCATATGCTGACGGTGTGGCCGAAAAGAAAATTTTTTTTTCTTTAAAGCAAAATGTTTTAAATGAAGAACAGAACTTCTGTGAAGGAAAAATATAATACTGGATTTAAACTTTATAGGATATGTTATGGGAAACACAGTGGGTGGAAAGACAGATAAGAAAGAATTATCAGGAGACAGCATTGAAACATATAAGGTGATGAAAAGTCAAAGAGAATTCAAAGTTAATAAAGTTGTAACATCCATTTAATCAATATTGCAGAGAACTGGGGACAATTTAGGGGCAAACAGCAGACCAAAGCTTGCTTCTCAACTTGGAAGGCAGTGAACAGATAGTCACTATCTTCAAATTGCTGAGGAAAAATAGCTGTCATTTGGAATTCTGTATCCAGCAACTCTATCTGTATCCAACAAAACATTAGGGCAAAAGAAAAATATTCTTAGGCAAATAAAAATTAGAATTTACCATCAATGGTAAAACCACTGCTAAAGGTTTTACCTCAGGAAGAACCAAAATAAACCCCTAATGGTAATGTACACAAATACTATGAACAAGAAAATAATAAACATGGGGCAGATTAAAAATGTCTAGCAATTGTGGTTTAAAACAGCAAGAGAGTTAAATGAAATTAAGTAGGGCTAGCAAAATATTGTACAACTATAGAATGCTTTGGAAGGTAGATGTTTGAAAATACAGCTTTTGTGTTTTGCTGAATGATGATTAAATTAGACTCATAAACAATGTATATTTTGAACCAGGGCTGGGAAAACTCTTTCTGTAAAAATGTGGTATTAAGTATTTAGGGCTTTGTGTTTGCAGCTACTTACCTCTGCCACTGCAGTGTGAAAGTAGCCATTCTCCATATGTACACTAGTATGCACGGATCTCTTCCAATAAAATTTTATTTACAAAAACAAGTTGTGAGTGGGATATGACTCATTGGCTACTGTTTGCTGATCTCTATTCTAATCCAGTAGAGGGAATAATTGTGATGTGGTAAAATGAAATCAGTTCAACACGATGAAAAAAAAGAGAGAAAAGGATAAAAAGAAACATAACAAAAAGGAAGTATTGCATATAGTAATATGATAGAATTAAATCCAACATAATCATATCATATTAAATGTAAATGGCCTAAAAAGATCACTATTGCCA